GATGATAAAAACATTTTCAAATGAAATATTTACCAAAATATCAATGTGTAAATTAATTACACATTTTAATATTTGACGTACACGGTCGCGTAAATTTTCGATTGTTAACAGATGCCGTTGCATAATTGTTGTTGTTTGTTTAATGGCCAAGGCTGCTGCTGCTACCGCTGTCGTGGATTGTGATTTTAATTGTAATGAAGACGGCGATGACGGTGACGATAATGACGATGATGATGATGATGATGATGATGATGATAACGATGATGATGTTCTTGCGGTAGTTGCGGTGGTATTGTTATCGTACAATAAATGTGATGTTGGAACTTGTGTTGCTCTTCTTGTTGTTGATACTGATACTGTTGCTGTTGTTGTTGGTGTTGATGCTGATGCTGATGCTGATGCTGCTTCTGTTGTTACTGGCATTGTTAACGGCATTGCAGCATTTGTTGCTTTTACTGTTATTGCTGCTGATATATCTGGTGTCATATTACCGGATATATTTTTATGATGTTTTCATATATTTATGTAAAAATAAACTGGTACGCATATACATATAAATAAAAACGCATAAACGCACACACAATGCAAAACACACTCTTTATTAACACACAAGTCCTCCTGTGTATTATTATTATTGTGACTGCAATTTTGTACAATGAAATGCTACGCTTATAGATAGATAGATATTTTTCATATGTATATAAACTCGGGTTTATATGTTTATGTATTTTCCCCGTGCATATATGAAAACATTAAAAATGCTGCAAATTTGTACGATTTCGGTTGTTTTAGTGGAAATAAATGTTTTATCCGCAAAAAAGGAAAAACAAAAATCATCAAATTCGAATGAAAAACAATTTTATTATAAATTTCACACATTTAAGCATTTGCGCTTGTTGTTTACTGTTTCCTGTTGTTGCATAATTGAAAAACAAATTTTTCTAACAAAATTTAAAATAGACGCAACAAAAAGAGAAAAACAAAAAGAAAAAAAAAAAAAAAAAACGCCAAACCAAAATCTCTAAACATTCGCGGTAATTGCGGTTAACACATTTGCATGGATACGAATATTCGTGCGTTGTTTAAATATGTTCAGCGTTATGTTCTCTACTATTATTTCTTCTTCTTCTTCTTTCACTTTTGTTTTGTTTATTTTTGTCTCTATTGCTTTTGAAACAATCGATATACGTTCAAGTAAATGACCGACGAGCGCATAAATTGCTTATTACATTCACTGATACATATATTCGCAGTTTTTATTTTCGAACTGATTAAGATAATAATTATAACATTCACGTGTGATTTTGTATACACAAGTACACCTGTCTGTCTATTCTAAAGTTTTCTTCTTTTTTTTTTTTTGTATATAATAAGCATTTACTTGAAACCGTTAACTATAAGGGAGAGAGAGTACGGTGTAGTCACTTAATCAATTGATTAGTTTACGAAATTGTCTCGAATCGTATGCATGTTTGAACATTACCGAACTTTATCACGATTGAATGGATTCAAATATTTTATTAGGGAAAGTCTAATTAACGTGTACACAAACTGTGCGGTCGGTCGGTCAATTTTAGCTTTTTTAATTTGATATTTTTTTCTTTATTAAATAATGACGCAAACGTTGTACATAAAACAAAAATTTTAGTTTCACACACTCTGCCCGCTAGTATAATAATAATGCGAGAACTAGCCGTAGTGGAAAACAAAACCGAAATGCATTACCATTCAGCTTACATTCTGTCTGTATGTTCTCTACTCTTTTATTGTTTGTCATTTATATGTTTGTATATTTTTGTTTTTGGTTTTTCATTTCGTTGTGTTTGAGTGATGTATGATCAATTTCAATAGCTTTTCAACGCGATTCCTACGTAAAGTGTTTCATTCTAAAAATCGTAACAACAATGTTTGCATTATTCTTAATAAAGTCACTCCACTCTAAACGAAACTACATATTATTTTATATGCACACAGTCCACACACATTAAATGTTTACATGATTTATGTATGTATGTATATTATTAAGCACTTCCTTGGTAAAATCATTCATTCATTTAGTCAAATAATTTCTTTTTTCTTTTTCTCTCTTTTACTCTCTTTTCGTGGCTCTCCCTTCCGTGCTTGATTTATACTCGCAACCTGAATCGATACAAACTTTTCTCGTCCAAGTTATGCGTGTAATGAAAGAAGGGGTTCAATGATAATGAGAATAAAACCCATTTGACTTTTCAAGTATATTTTAGTGAAATCAATGAACGTATCAAAATAGATAATACTTGTCAAAACCTTAAACGTAAACAAATGGTTCTAATCCGCCTATAAAGAACACTGGTTAAATACGAGATATTCGCAGCAATTTCGAATGTTATTTACGTGAAGAGGTAATGCGAGTGTAAATTTTCCTTCAGACAATGGGAAATTGTTTTCTTGAAGTTTCGAGATTTTCCGCAAAGTAACTGCATGAAATGCAATCTTGCTGGAAAGCTCCAGCCTGATGTCTTACTTATTGTTTCCTAGCTCTCTGTAATACTGTAAAGAGTGTCTTTAGAAAATGCTCAAGTGCTTACTACGACTATGCAAGCGACCAATGGCTCCATATGAGACTGATAGAAATTTGAAGATTTTTGATGCTTCTACCAAGAGATTAAACATTTAAGTTGAAGTTTTTGATGTTGGTTTGAATGCCATCTCTTTGTTTATAAATTTTGCTTGCCATTCTTGGAAAGTGTAGAACATGTCTTCTCGCTATACAAGTCTTTGAAGAAGAAGAATGGAAAAATAATCAAAAAAAACCTTGTCCATAATATATTTCGCAACTCAGCTTAATTGCAAAAATGTTCACTTTTTTCATAAGACTTTGTTGACAACATCTTTAAGACAACGTTGTCTTGGGCGTGAAATTGCAGTTTTTCAAGGAAATATCCGCCCGCGATAGAGGTCTGTGAATGAACTGATGGTTTTTTTTTTTTTTTTTTGGTTTTGTAACATTCAAGTTTTTCTGCATAGCCTCTAGGTCTAGGGGAAAATGTCTGCAGCGTTGCCATTTTTTATATACATATATATTTCTTAACACTTCTATATATGCTTAATAGGCTTAGCACATCGTCTTTGCTTACATCCAAAAAAAAAAAAAAACCTCAAGAAACCTTTTTTTTTTCCTTAAATAGTACTTGAATAAATCTGTAGATAGTCGTTATGAAGATGTGGTAAATTTTTGAAACAAATTTTAAATTGTTGTTCGTTGTATTTTGTAAATCAATGGCAAAAATATGTTAAAATTATTTCCATTCCGATGTGTGAAAGAATTATAGAATGAACTAAATAAAAAAAAATATGTATAACTTTATATATATGTAGTATTCAGTTTTTCTTTTCCTTCATTCCTCTCGCTTTAAGAGTTCGAAGAGCTAAAGTGAAGAAGAATCGCTTCAAGAGTATTGCATTGCAGCTGCAATGAAAACAATTCATTGTCAATTTTTGATTGGAAGGTGTTAAAGTTTTTTCGAATATTTTCAATTTTTCCATCTTAATCCTTTAGCTTTTCTTCATTTATTTTACTTTATTTATTCATTTTTTTTTTTGAATTGTTCGCATTTTTCAATCACAAGTGGACCGATTGCATTGCGACGAATTGATTCATTTTTTACTTATTATATATAATAATTTTCAGATTAATTAATTTGTAGGTTTAAATGAATATTGTGACGGCTTGAACTCATACTGTAGTAGAGTATACGAAACGATTGTTGTTTACCGACCATTACTTGGGGGCTGTTCTGCTTTTCGGCTTGTATGTGTGTGCTTGTTCATGTGTTCTCAATAAATCAAAGTTTAGTATTTTGCTTGGTTTTCGTCAAGTAGACAATGAGGTGTGATTATACGACGTGGGTGTATTACCTGCGTAGTTATTCAATAGCAAAACGGTCCCAATTAGTCGCGTTCTCAGCTGACATAAACATATCGAATAGCCTAATGTTATGTTATTGTCACTTACTCCCTCTCTCTCTCTCTCTCTCTCTTATCTGAACCAGAATCTAAAAAAAAGAAAATAAAATAAAATTTGATTACACACACCCTTGGAAAAACGATGAACTCAGGTAAGATAATGTTTGTATGTATTACGTGTTTACAAATTCTGTTAATAATTCTCAGTATTAAGTAAAACAAAAATTTGTTGTTTAGGAAAACTCGACTTTATCCGTCAACACGAATAATACAATCACTTTAATGCTGCTGTAATGTTTCGATGCCTTCTTTAAAAAACGAGAGGGCACTTAACACTTTCCGTACAACAACTTTATTTTTTCTTAAACATATCGCGTGGACATTTTTTTGAGATATGTAAACAGATAACAGCCACCGGGAGTTGGATCAGAAGAGTACGCTTGGTGTGGCAGCAATTCAAATTTTAACTCATGCAATTTTGTGAATGCAGCTGTTCCATTGGCGTGTTCCAAACTAACTTTCCCAAACACATAAAGCTACACTGTCTGTAAAGATATTGCCTTTCCGTGTCAGCTCTTTCTTCCGAATCAACTTTTCGATTATCGGGAATACTTTTCAGCATTTGTTTTATGCTTCCTCGCCTCAGCATTCCCATTCGATGTCTACAGTGTTCAGCATTGCTGGTGTTCACGCGACTTCTTTTAAAATCATCAAAGCACCGACAAATTGTTATTTTCGCCGAAGAAAGCCAGACACTTCTCAAGCCGATATCCAGTTTGAGCAGTATTTTATTTCATCATAAAGCAATGTTTAATTAGAATATCTAATTCGGATTATCCATTATTTTGAAAATAGGAAAACCAGCGCCACTAAATCTACTGTAACTCGTAGATAAATAATCGAAATAAGATAAAATATTATATGCTCTGGTTAGATAATTTTAATAATAGGCATTTTTGCCTAGTGATCATATATATGTACCACAGATCGAATCAGTCACCGTGTCAGACATAAATTTGAAAAGCCTTTAAAAGGAACAACTGAACTGTTCAAATTTAGACGATTTGATTAAAAAAAAAAAATCAAAAGTTGAATTTTGTATGAAGTGACAGATCGTAATCTACGACCGTATGTCCCTATAAATTTACGTAATATCACTTTCCCTAAATTGCACAATTTATCATATCCCGGTCCCCAGTGACTAAGATCGATCCGCAAGGAATATTTGATTGTATACATAAGGACCATTTCGTCCAAGTAATGGGCACAGGTACATTCTGACCAGCATAGACCATCTCACACACTGGTCTGATTCAACAAATTTATTACTAATTCCGTCACAAATTTTGGTGTTCCCCTATCCTACTCACTACTGAGAAGGACATGCAATTCGAATTAAAATTCCTCAACGGACTTTCAAAATTTGCTGGAAGCCGCAAATTTACAATAATTACCACCCGGAAATGAATGAGAGAGGTAGAGAAATTTCATAGATAAGTTTAAGAGTCCATATAAGCCAAAGATAATGCCAAATGGTTCTACAAGCTTCCCACTTATAGTCTCCGATCAGACTACAAAAAGGATAAAAAGGAAGCAACAGCGGGGGAGATTGTCTATGCAGAGAACAATCGTTTACCAACCAGAAATTTCCCGTACAAGGATCGACATCGCATTGTCATGATTTTTTAAGTCGCATTAAGTTACGTTTCGAAAAGCTCCAACATCATAAGCATCCTGATTTTGGATTATATACATTTAAAGATTTAAAAACGTGTAAACGTGTTTTCTTTCTATGAAATAATTAAACACGTATTACAACAACCATACGAAGGATCGTATACGATTCTGGGAATGCAGCGAGAATATTTCATCCTGAAGATATACAACACAAGAAGAACATTGCCAACAGACAGACTTATTGTGGCTGATAACACACAACGTTACTCCATCGTACGCTAATACGTGACACGAACAAGACGTCGCATTTAACCTCTTAACACCGAGCTCTGCTACTACGTAAAATTTGTTTAATGAA